AAGATTGTATAAAAATGTTTTAGGGCAAACAAAAAGGGAAAAGAACATATAATAGCTAAAAGTGAACTTACACTGAAAGTACCTACAGTAACCATCTATAAAAATCTCATAGTCAAAAACACCATAGTGAGAAAATATAAATAATAACCTTACTGTTAGAAATAGTTTTTACTGAGACTTAAAAATGAGAATAATCCTAACAACCACAGAATACAAGACTGTTCCAACTGAGAAAGAAAGCCTAAATGAAGTCAGTTAACTCTTTCTCCCCCTTACTCAAAGTTTGGTTCACTCACTTTCCTATAGATTTTTGGATTTTCTAAACTAGAAACAAAGTCAAGGAAAGCCTCTCTCAAGCCACATGGCTCAGCTCCTCACTAACCTGTCCTTGAGAAAACAGACTCTACAAGTGATCTATGGTGGCTTGGCCTTAGGGGCAGGGTCAGAGGGCATCAGACAGGATTACTACTGCTGAGGATTTCCCAAGCTTGGGGACTGAGCAAGTCTCCTAAGTGCAAACTTTGTATCTGATCTGACTTTGGACTTACTATAGCATTTAGACCAGTCATCTTACACAATTAATAAAGTAAGACTCCATAAATATGCATTCAGAGAATGAAAAGAGGGCAGCATTAACACATCTATCCTTAACTGGGCAACTGAATTGGATCCAGTTTTATAAATACCCACCATAGTAACAGTAGTTATAACAAAGTTAAAGAGCCTAGAACACATAGCACCTGTTTATAAAATAGGTTTGCTCTTCTCTGACCTTGGTGGTAGTAATCCTGGCTTATGTACATTCTTCATACACAAAACCAGTTTCTATCATTTACACATCTGATGTTTCCCATATGTTAAATAAGAATAAAAAAACTTAAAATTGGGGAGGGTTCTATTTGGTGGGGGTGACGGGCTGCACACTGCACACATGTGGAAGTCAGTGGTCAACTTATGGAAGTTGATTCCCTCCTTCCATTGTGTGAGTCCTTATCATGAATTAAAAAAAAAAAAAATAGAAAACTAGGAAAACAGACCACCCCACCCCAGCTGTTGCTGATGTTTTGGTTTTTGAGGATTTTTTTTTCTTTTTTTTTAATCACATCAAAATGGTTTAAAATTTCCCTGTGGCACTTTATTCTGCCAAATAGTATAAGCAGTAAATAACTATCATCTAGAAAGTATAAATTGCTTGAAAGTGGTTTAAAATGCTAAAACATCTGTCTGGAGACTGTATCACTTCAATTCAAGATAGATAATATGTGTGCCAGAGGGAAACAAAGACAGGAAAAAAAATTCTTCTCAAGGAGTGACAGTTGGGACAGAAAAAGGAAGGATGGAGCACACACTAAATAATTATTTAATTGGAATTTACCATATATATACACAAACATGCCAGGCCTTGTACTCAGCTCTGGAGAAACAGCAAGACAGATTCATACTCATGTTTCCTATCCTCCTTTACAGCCAACAGCAACAATATGAACCAATATGTACCATCTTCCAATTATAATAACCCGGAAAACATACATTTTAGGTGCTTGCATAAATATGGATATAAATAATTTTTGATAATGTATTAGTTACTTTTCTTGTTGCTAGACTAAATACCTGAGGAAAGCAACTTAAGCTTACACATGATGTGGTGGCACATGTCTGCAATCCCAGCACTCTGGAGTCAGAGGCAAGAAGTTCAGAAGTTCAAATTCACCCTCTGCTACCTAGAGAGTTCAAGGTAAGCCTGGGCTATGTGAGACTTCCCAAAAATAAGAGAGGGGGAGAAGACGGTAGAAGGGGACCAATATAAGAAATAAATTGAACCGAGGAAGGGTTCATGGCTCATGGTTTATATAGAAGCATCTCCAGTCAGGAAGTACAATGATAAAAGCTGGGGCTTGGGACACTGTCTAGTCTCCTGGGCTGAAGCTGTCCACATTCAGGGTAGGGTTTCCCTCCTCAGTTAGCACTCTGGAGAAACAACCTCACAGACAAACCCACAGATGTGTCTCCTAGAGGATGTAAACCTAGGCAAGCTGACAGTGGGGATGAACCATCAGAAACATAATAATAAAGTATAATAAAAGCTTATATAACCTTCTAAGCAAATAAATAGGAGACAATTTTCTCCTACTGCAGAAGAGGAACGGAGATCAGGGAAGGCTCTGGGCCTCTTAAGCTGGGTCTTCAGGAAGGAAGGAGGAGTTTATTCAGCAAAGAATGTTAATCAGAAGAGAAAGCTTTAAAAAATGTCACAGAAGTGACATTTTATATGGAAAATGGAAACCTAATTTAACTACAGCATGTAGAGAAGCATAATCCAAAGGGTGGACAATGTGATTGGCAAAGCCACCAAGGCCACTCCTGTATTCCACCCTGACGAAAGTTTACACCTGGATAGCTTCATGGTTTGGTACCAGGAGTGGCCTCATTACTGATCTGTGCCATACTAAATAAATGGTGGCAATGTGATGGCTAGAAAAGTGTGAGAGACATCAAGGCAAAGAGACCAGCGGTTAAAGTGTACTACAACAGGTAATCCTCTGCTACAGAGGAGAAATGGTAAAGACTAACAGAATAATAACGAAAGAGTCAGAAACAGACCAGAGGCCAACATAAGTGATTCAAGGTCAGAATTAAAGGAGAAAGTAGACATGATGGCATTATGCAAGACATGGGAAATAAAAGGAGAATCAGCATGCTTGGGGACAGATCACATAACAAGCACATTTCAGATAAGCTAAATTTGTGTTTTTATTTGCAGGATTCATTGATAAGCAACTGGAAATTTTTACTCTCCTTTGAGAAAACCATCCTTACTCTTTCTTTTTCCAAAGCAACATTTACGATCCTAATACTTACTACATATCAAGTGCTAACACAGATGCTGGATAGTCATACCAAACTGTACACACAACGTGCATCATGGTAACACAAGGATCAAGATTAAAATATGGATGCAAAAATACAATCCATGTGATTGCTAAGAGAAGTGTTCAAGTATGGTAAAATGTGATTTATGAGATGTTAGTGGGAAGATAAAAATGTTCCACTATTTGGGAGCAACAAATGCTTACAAATATATAATAAGGTTTTAGCTAATACATCGATAGGTAAGTAGTGGTTATAATTAAATGCAGATGGGTAATTGTCTTATATGTTTTACTATCCCAATAATATATTATGCTTTCTGGAAAAGTAATAGAACACAAAGGCTACCACTTCAAACTGAGTTCTATCTAAACTCTTTCAAATATTGGTAATATTCTATTCCCAACTTAAGTTTCTTCTCTCCTTTTCCATAAGAAGTAATTTTGCTAGAGCCATGTTTGACAATAACTTCTATCAAACAATTGTAGAATATTATTTTATGGAAGATAACTAATAAGTATTTTATCTGCTCTAGCCTTTCATACAGATTAACGAACATTATTTCTTAGTCCATTAATAAGCTTCATTAAGAAAAAGAGAATTATTTGATAAGTACAGTCACGGAGATATAGTCTATAAATATCAAAATAAATCTCAGTAAATGAAAAGGTTTTCCTTAACTGCTAATAAACATCAGTGTCTACTATTTATTTATTTGCTTTGTTTTTTCAAAACAGGGTTTCTCTGTGTAGCTGTGGCTGTCCTGGAACTCCCCTCTGTAGACCAACCTGTCCTGGTACTCACAGAGATCTGCCAGCATGTATCTTCCAGTGCCACCACTGCCCAGCTCAGTGTCTACAATTTTCAAGGCCATTTTTTCCTTTCCTAACACCTCACCCCTTGTCAGCTTCCCAATAATTTCAGTTACCTACAGTTATTATCATCAACTTGTCTTGGCCATTGGTTTGATAGGGATCAAGTACTCTCAACAAAAATCAAGAATGGTCATCAGGGACATTCTGAAAGTTTTGTGAGACCCTTGGAGGTTCCACAATAATCTGCATAAGAGGAAGGATACTTTGTGGATAGTGAATTACTGATTTTGTGTAAGACCAGTCAACACAGCAATAAAGAACCGACTCTGGCCCTTAAGATTTTTATAAGATACTAGTGACACAAAGTAGGGGAATAGCCAGGTTATGGTCATCTTTGTTAAGAACTTTCACTCTGTTTTAGTACAGGCTGAATTTTCCATAAATGAAGTCACCCTACAAACTGAGGAGATACTTACAACAATTTACCTCAAAATGTTCACCTTTTGTGGAAAACAAATTAAAAATAAAATTAAATTTCAAAAAGTTAAAAGTAAATCACAATAAATTAAATTAAAAATAAAATTGGAATGCCAATATTTGATAAGTCAGGGTCATGAACTCGAGGCCAGCCTGGGATACACAGTGAGTCCCTGTTTAAAAAATAAGATCCTGATGGCTTGCATTTGTAGCTATCACACATACAATTGCTTTGGACCGCTGCAATAGGGGAGCAATATGCTCACCTCATGCAGCCTGTAATGTATTCATGTGAAAGCATTTACAAATTCAAACAGCGACGTGTTACTAAGAAAATATTTACTTCACTTTTATGTTTCAATTAGACTACTATACTAACTTAAAAAAAAAAAAAAACTTTACTGAATCTTATATCAGGATATCACAGCAAACTTTTAAGAAGTCCTTTGGGGTGGCCAGTCACACACAGTTGAGCATTCCAGCCTGAGGCTGGCTACTGCAGAGGCCTCCGCACTTATATATTCCTACTATTCCTACAGATGGAACCGGCGGGGTGACGCAGCCGGTAGAAGTGCTGCTGGCCCGTCAAGAGTTCGATTCCCCGGGAAGGAAAGACCCCACTCCCCCCCCCCCGCCCCCCGCTTTCCTCCTGAATAACCTGTGTGCCCTTTGAGATCCAGATCTGGGAGGACGCTAGAGAAGCGCCTCTCCCTCCTCCCTCCGCTGGGTACTAACTGCCCCCGGGGTAGACTGCTTTCCCCTTAGAGGTCCCCACGGGTCGCCTCCAGGCTGCCCAGGGTCCGGGGGGCTTCAGTGGATGTGCAGGGCCCGCACACTCACCGCGGCGTGGTCGATGTCGGCGTCACGCCTTTGCGTGGACGGGGGCAAGTATTCGGCGTAGCGCAGCCCCTCTTTGGAGGCCACGCCGCCACCGGTAGCCATAGCAGTGCACAGGGACCCAAAGGACGCGCAGCGTTGCTACGAGTCTACGAGGTGACCTTAGGGACAAACTAGTGCGTGCGGGCTAACTTCGCGTTCTGAGCAAATGTTGAGTAGCATTGGAGGAGATATGACAGCAGAGAACCTGGTTCTCGTTTTATCTCCGAGCAGCTTGTCCCACCAAAGCTGAACTTGCTTACTTTTATTTGCTTGTTTATTTTGAAGGATCTCCTGGGGCTAGACTTGTTGAGTCATCTCCCACCACACCCACCAAGTCTGGGATTGGGAACTTATTTAGAAACTTGAGTTTCTCTAACACCTGCCTGGGAGAGACTCCTGGGTCCTGGGAGTAGAGACAAGCCTGTGGCTTCCTAACTTGACCTTCCCAGACAGAAAAGAGTGATTTTACATGTAAGTGAAATTACTGGGAAGAAACTGGAATCAAGTAGCTTGCAATCATTGAGGGTGATTTGGAGTTAATTTGAACATATAAAGACTTCCTTTATTATTAATTTTTAGGTCAAGCTCTTTGGAACGAATATTAGACAATAACTTAAGCTAATACGTTTTCTAACCCCTGTGCCAACTTGGCTGCTGTTTTGCCCTTTATATACTTGGCAAACCAGCTAAAAAGGTTTTTTCTATTCTTGAATTAAAAACTTTAAGAACCTATTAATTTATCCATGTAGCTAATATTATGTCTATGCTCAGGGCCTGGAGGAATTTACAATCCAGAAGGAAAGATTACACCAACACTGTGCTAGTAATATTTCCCAGAGCACAGGCAAGCTGAATTGACTGCAAAAAGAGGAAGAAAAACAAACAAACAAACAAACAAAACAGCATTAGTGTTTACAAAAGGAACAGCAGCAATCATGAATGTTTCTGCCTTTGAGACGACCCAGTAAAGAATATGTTTGTTTTCTTTTGTTTTAGTTTGAAGAAGAAAAGGAGCCAGAGATTCCACATGGAGATAAACACAAAGAATTGCAAAGGGTGTGGTTAATATTGGGTTAAAAGTACTTCATGACTCTTTAGAAACATGGCTTTATCCAAATTATTTTTTATTAAGATAATGCACAATGACTTGTGAGCAAAACAAATGAGTAGGACTGGAGCCTACATATCATTCATTCATCATCCATTTGTTCAATTTATTCAATAAATACTTATTGAGCATATGTCAAGTTTTAGACACGGTACTAGAGCATTGTGCCTTTAGCCATGAAACAAATAAAGTCTCCAAGTCTTTGGAGTTTATCGTCTAAGGGAGGCTAATGGTATATCCTAGCAGCTGGACCCTTGCAGTCATAGGCTGCTAGCCTGGAGCAAACAAGCAATTAGAGCAAAGACCCATGTGAGCCAGCTCTTTTTAGAACAGTGCACCTGCTCAAGAGTGGGAGCTTCCAAAGCAGAAGCCAGGAAAACAGGGGGCTGGGTGGAGAATAAGGCAGAGGAGAGGGCCATAGGAAGGACGGTGGGAGCAGTTGCATATCACGTCAGACTTTTGAGAGTAGATTACTGACTGCTTACAGACATTACTGTACTCCCTGCCAGTGTTGCCTTGCTTGTCTGCTTCTACACAAGTGGCCAGCATTCCAGAGAAATCTCATCCCCAGTGACTGTTAGCCCTCTGCCTTTGGTTCGTCAGCAGGTTCAGCCTTACCTGCAAATAAAGATAAAAACAAAGGCAATGAAATCCTTTTCTCACCCCCCCCCCACCAAGGATCTCTTCTTGGTTTAGATAGACTCACTTTTCTGGCTTCCTTGAGAATGAAGATAAATGTTGTTTTGTGAAATAAAAAGAGAGGATTAAAGAAGTCCACGAACGCCCAAATACAGGAATAACGGATATTTATTTCTTTGGGGAGCACTCACATGATGAAGGCAAATAGCTGCTGTGGTCTTCTGCCCCTGGAGGCTCAGGATCTGTGATGCAGGTTGCTCAAACCACAACCCTAGAAAGAGGCCAAGTGAGGCCCCTCCTCTTCCTTATGAGGGATCACGGCCACACACTGAAGCCACCCCTAAGGCTGTTACTTTAGTTCTATTGGCAGAAAAAGATGCCACCACAAAGAGGTGTGTTAAATTTCTATTGGTTTTCTTTTAATTACTTAATAGCATCTCAAAGACATATTATGTTCAATGGACCTTATAAAACAAAGGCAGAGATTGGTATATATTTTCAGTAAAAAGGGGTTTAAAATTTTATTGGAACTTTCAGTAAAAGAACACAAATTTTAACCTCACTGTGCTCATTTCCTTATCAGTACATTGATAAGCAGTATCACCTCCCCTGTATGCAGTAAATGGGCTTAGCTTTGTGAATATCTTAGTATGATGACTGTATGGGTTGGGTAGTAAGTGCTCTTCCAAAAGGCTTATAAACGGAAGGCTTGGTTTCTATTGGCCAGTGGATCAGGAGGACACTGAACTAATCAATGGATTAACCCACTGATGGTTTTACAATTTGATTGTATTATTGGGAGATTCTCGGAGGTAGGTCCCAGTTGGTGGAAGTAGGCTATGGGATTGAATCCTCGGGGCTTATAGCTTATGCGGGCCTGTATGGCTCTCTCTGCCTCTTGGCTACTGGGAGATGAACAGTCTCTTCCGACATAAACTCGTACTTGTTCTTCATCACTACAGGCCTAAAGCATTGGGTCCAGCCAACAAAGAAGAAGCTACTGAAACCATGCACTAAGTCAAATCCTTCTTCCATTTAAAATGTTTCTCTTTGGTATTTGTCACAACAACAAAAAGAACTTAATTAAGTAATTGCCTACAATCTAGTAAATTCTTCAAAAGTGTTACTATTTCTTTTTCTTAATTTTTAAAAATTCTTTTAAATTTTCATATGTGACTATACTGTATTTACTCCAACTATTCCAAGTCCCCAACTCTCTCAAATCTATAATCTCTTCATCAGCAATAAGTCCTTTCAGGTAACCAAGGGGGATGGCACCAACCTGTATTGCTTTAGGAGGATGTCCCTTGGATATCCCCCCAAAAAATTATTTGAAGATAAAATGGCCCTGTGTCCTATGTGTCATAGTTTCTCTATTGCTGTGGAAAAATATCTTGATAAAGACAATTGTATTAGTCAGAGTTTTCTAGAGTCACAGGACTTATGGAAGGAATCAATTTCTCTCTCTCCTATATATTGGGATGACTTACAGGCTGCAGCCCAACTAATCCAACAGTGGTTATCTTTGAATGGAAAGTCCAAGAATCTAGTAGTTACTGAGTCCCACAAGGCTGGATGTCTCAGATGGTCTTTAGTATATGCTGGAACCATGAAGAAGTAGGCTCTGAAGCCGATGAAGGAATGGGTGTGCTAACAAGGTGAGAGCAAGCAGGCAAAGACAAAATCTTCCTTATATAGGCTTCCAGGAAGAGGTGCAGCTCAGATTAAAGGTGTGTCTTCCCACCTCAAGATCTGGATCAAAACCTGCCTCTTCCTGCCCCAAGATCTGAATCAGACATGTGCCTGCCTACCTCCAAAGATGCAGTGGATTCACCTACTTCAAACCAAGCAGAATATCTCTCACAGGTGCGCCCTCCATGAAATGATTGTAGATCATTCCAAATGCAGTCAAGTTGAAGACCAAGAATGTCCATCACAACAATTTATAAAAACAAAGCATTTAATTGGCTTTACAGTTTCAGAGGGTTAGCCACGCAAAGGAATATTTTGAATTGCATGTAGTAGGCAGAGGGTCACACTGGGAATGGTGAGAATCTTTGGAGATCTCAAAGTCCACCCCCGTGGCACGCCTGTTCTAACAAAGCCACACCTCTTAATCCTTCCCTCGCATTTCCACCAACTGGGCACCAGGTACTCAAACACTTGGGTCAATGGGAACCACTCTCATTCATGCTACCACACCATCTTTGCAAAGAAAGAAACAACATTGAAAGCAATACAGAAAAACGCTCCACATGCAACACTAACCTCTAGCCTCCAGATGTGAATGAATACTCCCTCTACACTCTCTCTCTCTCTCTCTCTCTCTCTCTCTCTCTCTCTCTCTCTCTCTCTCTCTCTCTCTCTCTCTGTCTCCTCAAAAGCTACCGAACAGTATGGATGCAAAGGAAAAAATGAAAAGTTTTCAACTTGAAAATTAGATGGGATTCCATACTCAGTTTTGCATTAAGATCTTGCTGCTTCTTCATTTTAAAGAAAACCAAATTAGAAGCCCTAAAGGGCATTATCGTCATTGTGAGTGAACCTGAGGCAGAACTGAATCTGGGGGCCACATCCATGTCAACGGCTTTCATTTCACTCTCCAGACAAAGAGAAAGCATGGGGGCGGGGCCGGGGGTGGCCCGCAGGGGAGGAGACCAAGGTGTATGTCACGGCTTTAGACCTTCACAGCATTGGTGGGAGTTTTAAGAAAAAAGAAACCCATCTTGGAGCTGGGTTTGCAGCTCAGTTGGTAGAGAGCTTTCCCAGCACGCATGGAGCCCTGGGCTTGATCCCCAGCACCACATAAACTGGGCACTGTGGTGCATACCTGTGCTTCGAGCACAAAAGAGGTGCTGACAGGAGGACTAGGAGTTCAAGGCCATCTTCAGCTACGTAGCCAGTTTGAGGCCACCCCTGGGTTACAAGAGACTCTGGTCAAGAAGAAAAAGAACTGTGTAAGAGCATCCCCTGATGGTGATGAAGGTTCCCAATTTCCAAGGTTTCAGTCCTTGGTCTCTTAGCTCTGTTGTTCTTGGACTGTGATGAGATAGAGCAACAAGGCAGGAAGCATGTGGGAGATCAGAGCTGCTCACCTCACAGGGACCAGAAAGGAGAGGGAGGGAGGGAGGGAGGGAGGGAGGGAGGGAGGGAGGGAGGGAGGGAGGGAGGGAGGGGAGCAGATCCAGAGATAAGATCTATCCTTCAGTGGCTCACCCTCAGTGGCATTTTCCTCCAAATAGGACCCCCCTTCTAACACGAAGTCACCACTGAATTAACCCATCAATGAACTAAGAGCTTTCATGATCCAAACAACTGGTAAAGTTCTGTCAGCTGGCAACCAGCCCCTCAACACATAAGGCTGACAGGGTGTGTCATAGCC